CAGACCAGCATAACTGTTCAATCACAATATAGCCTATATAAAGGTAATGAAATAGTCAGCGCACCTTGGAAGGAAAGTAAAATATATCTACAAAACACTCTAGGGTAAAATTACCTTAAAGTATAAATACCAAGAACTGCCACGAGGTAGTACTCGGTACGTAACTCTGCCCATAGTCAGGTGGTCAGTCTTACCAGTCCCTCAAAGCACTACTTGGATGCATTTTTATACCACCCTGACTATATGCAACGCTCACAAGATAAACACGGCAAGCCACTTAGGCTTCACGCTTTTAAGCCCGCAATCAAGAAATACTAGAAGTTACACAACTGTTTCTAAAAGACAAATAAGTTCAGAAGCTGATCTGAAGTTTGGAGTAAGGCACCTGTATTAATCAGATTCATGTTTCAAAAAGAGTTGGGGCAGAAAATGACAGGCTCCTCATCACTGGATGGCAAAACTTCATATAATCACAGGGGACAAGTGGAAGGTAAACACGAGACAGAAAAGAAGAAAGGAAAAGGCAAGGAAGGAACAGATTGTCCACAACAGATACTGCTGACGTATTTTTAAGAACAGATGGCAACTGACAGGGATGTGATACAAGGCATGCACTTCCCAGATTTGGCAGTCCTCAAAGTAGCGGAATGGCTTTTACAGTAACCTGACTCTGACACACACACTTCCAAGGAAACAATAGGTGAGAAGATATTTTCATACACTGCACTGACTGGTTTGAGAGCTGACAAGACAAAAGGCTTAGAAGTTGTAAGGATTAACGTGAGGCAGGGAAGTTTTCTGGCATTGCACAGCAAAGACCCTAAATCTGCAGGTCCTAGGGGCCACAGAGCAGCCATGCAAATTATCTGCCAGCACCAGTGACTGCTCAGTTCAGTCATGTGCATTATAAAAAAATATACTGTAAAAAAAAAATAATAATACACACACACATACACATTCATACGTATCTCAAGGCATAATAAGAGAAGAAAAACCCCAAGCCCTCTGGAGCATTCAAGAGCCAAAGTAGGCAATCAGCAATTGGCTCCAAATTTAATCCAATGCTTTTAGACAGATGGAATTTAAACAAGAAATTCTGGTGTTTTGGCTCTAGCACTTCTGTTTGATTTAAAATAGAAACAACGCAAGCAAACTAGTGTTTATTTACTCAGAGAAAGACTGATTCTCACTTATTAACTTCAATGAAGATAAAAATTACATACAGTTAGTGAATTCAACTGTTTCTGGTCAAGACAAAAAGAAACCAAACAACAACAAAACGCAAACGGAAAACAATAGATCCACTTCCCTCTTTTCTCTAAATAAAGAGGGTGCAACATGACAAAGAACTGCTTTTGAGCTCTTAGTTATTTCCTAAGGGAATTATTGAGATTATTCTAACGAAAATGAAAATATTTCACTGCACTTGCACAAAAAAGCTACTTTTGTCATGGGCCAGCTCAATGCCTTCAGTGCATTTTGACAGTCATTGCTTGAAGCACTTTCCAGTGTCTTTTGCTGAAGAGATATGTAATGGGCAGAGTACCTGATTTTAAATTACTTTATCAGAGTGCATAAGAATAAGTTAAGTCAGAAACACTAGTACCTAGTGCAAATATAGTTTTATTCATTTTAAAGAGAGCTGTATTTAGTTTCAAAGCATATGCCTGTATATCCACCCTACCTCATCCATCTGAATGACTCAGCGCTTACCCACAAAACAGCTGTCATTATTTTAAACCACAATATAATGGGCTATGTCCATTACCAATAAAATGTTTCCAAATAAAGCATCTTGGAAAAATCACCTGTATACTACAGGCTTGACAGACCTCAAGACAACAGCAAACATGTTCATTTGTGTTTTCTGCAGCCACCCATTTTTTTTTTTTTTTTTAAAGCAGACAAAACCCAAACTTCTGATCAACTTGAGAATTCAGGAAATTTAATTCTCAATTACTGAAAGCTGCACATGGCAAAACTCAGTCCTACTAATGCGAAGAAGCTGGTCACACATCAACTGCAAGAAAGGAAGGCAATCCTTGCTCAGAGTCCTTCCATACCTGAAACAGCCTGAAGAGAGCATCATTTACTTACGCACATAGTAAGGAGGGAGCTAGAAATGCCTTGGGATATAGGAGGGCCCATATCAAAGAACTGATGGTCTGATGACAAGCAATTCATCTCATCTAAACGCCCTACTACTCAGCAGGCACCATTCACTGCTTTTCACCCAACTTCTAACACACAGAGAACGCATCAGCGCACCCACATTTTCCTAACACCTCTGCCACCGCTGAAAATTAGGGGGGTTGAGGTGAAAATCTGTGAAGCAGACCTTCAGGAATGCACGTGGCAACACACACCAACACCACACAACGTGTCTTGCCGTCTGGAAGAGCAGAAGTCACACAGCAGATGACCAGGGAGTGTGTGCACGCCCCTGTGTGACCATGGGGCCCTGGCAGCAGCGTCTGGGATGCCCAGCTCAGGATACCCTCGTGCCCACCACTGCTGACTTCAGCTGAGGGCTAAGCACAAAGAGGGGGAAAAAAAGAAGGAGTTTCTGCAGTGAATGCCATGCAGAAAAGCCAGTAAGGCTAGAACCATGCAAGAGCAAGTCTGACCAGTCCCCTGAGATGCTCCTGCTCTTACTACTTGCTATCTAACAGTTTTACTGCTTTTGCTGTTGGTAAGTGGTTCTTGTAGGAAACTGCTTGCTCTGGCACGTTGGTTACATGCAGATATTCTGCAATCCACTTGTCATTAAACTGTTGCACTTCTATGCAAAGAAGTTGCTTGGCTTGTCCAGAATAAGACATTGCATTTGCCTGCCATTTCAGTTTTTGTGACCATCTCCTTTCTCACACAAACCAACATGCCTGCTTATATTGGGCTACATTTGCATCTCTGCATGCAAAAACACCCAAAACATTACCTTGCATCAAGTCACACCTTGCCAATTAAATAGAACTCTGCAATTACATTAAATATTGTTGGCAGGTGGAATGAGTTTATGTCAGAGAAAGCAAAACATCACATATTGTGCATTAAAAGGATTCACACATATAAGTTTTGTTATTGTTTGCCTGTGTGAACCAGAAACTTCCAAACAACCAGCATTTGCAAAGTAATTTGTTGCTGTTGTTGCTGCTCGGGCGAAGATCTAGCACCTCACTTTCAATATAAAACCCCAGGGACAGAGTGTCACCAAAATGTACTAAGATCAAAAAAGTATCAGGATAATAAAATATTTTGTAGTAATTTCTTAAGAGTAAATTTCAGAACCCACAGCTAAAACAGTTTCTTTATAGAACAATTTTCTAAGGCACATAAGCTTTACTTCAAGCAGCTCAGAAAGATGGAGGTACCATCCAAAACCAAAGCCATGTGTCAGACAACACTCGTGTAATACACTCAAAGATGGTATCATGTTATATTACAGTCCTCTTGCCACCTGCCACAAGGTGTGTCTAACCTACGTAAGGAAACTTTTGCAAGATGAAGATTGCATTAGATAGTTGTCTCAAATATTCTTTCAACAGCTGATGTTCAGAAGGCAGCCTTGTGTTTTTGCAGAAGCATTTAATGCACGTATGAGCTAAAGCAAACTTGAAAAGCAGCTGCCTCAGTCAGGTTTGGAACTGTAGGGGCAACAATCAAGGACTACCACAGACTAAAGAATTTAATATTCCCAAATTCAACGTAATGCAGTACACTACCATGAGATATATCAGAAGAACTGGCCAAACCTGTACAGCTGAAATGACTCGTAGTTCTCACAAGCAGAAGAAAAACACACAGGCTGCACCAGCTCAGCAGAACCAAGGGAAAGGTTTATTTTAAATACTACATCCATCTACTCTAACCAATTTTTCAGAACAGTGAGGCCATCATTCCACAAGGAATAAAGAAATTGTAAAAGAGAAAAGAAGCAAAGAACCTAGCTCAAGATCTCCTACATATTTTATAGTCAAAGGCTGCCCCAGAGACCATGCCCATTAAATACAGGGTGGTTATTTTTCTTTATAAGGAAAGCAATGAGAGGAAGAGAGAAAAACAAGGACATCGGAGCCATCACAGTGCTATGTATTTTGATGGGAATGCACGGTTAGCCAAAAGTATCTGATGCAGTTAAAAGTAGAAAGACTGCTTTGGACTGACAGAAATTAGTTATCGATTCCCAGAAGCACTGAAGGAGCTGCTGTAGTTTAGGGTTCCTTTGTATTTGGCGTCCCTACTTGATGCACTGCAAGTCAGTACAGAACTCAAACATCAGTTATGTCAGTGACAAAAGCTGAGGGAAATAGAACAGTGTTGCTGCTACAGCAATGACAACTTTAAGAACATTCTTCTGAAAAGAATTTTTAACAAGGAACACACATAAAACAAACATGGATGCACAAATAAGATGCAGAGAAGGACAGGGATATACAAACTGTATCAGGACTGCTGTAAACCACTGACATCTAGGGATAGGCAAGAAAAATGCAGAATAAACTGTAGCACAAAACTTTCAGATGCAATAATTTCTAATTCATACTTCACAATTCATATTTAATTCACGTAAATTTTTTTCCTTTAGATTTTCCCTTTTGTGCTGCTTGCGATGCACGAGGCCCACAAGCGGTTCGTATAGATTAATGCAGGAATGGCAGACATCCATGTCACATGCTCAGATCATGTTTGACTGAAGCATTTACATCCTACATTATACCACAGAGAATTTCCCATTCTCTACTCTTTGATCCTATATTACATATTCAAGTTTAGCCACTGCTCTCCACGTGGTTCAGATCTCTAAGGCTAGTCAGTGCCATGCAACTGGATCGAGTAGTTGGTACTCTGCCTGACAGCCAGGTGGTGAATGAAGTAGTCCACAACTCAGCAAGCTAGTGTAAACCAGTCTTATGGCAATCCCCTCCACGGGCCATCTACATGCTGCTCTGATATAATCACAGATCCCAGGAAAGACAGAATTAGATTGTGCAGCTTCTTACCTGCAGCTCCTTTGAGACTCTCTCTAAGTGGTTAGTTATCTTTTTTATTAGGTCACTATACATCTGTTCCGAATGCTGCTGGCATACACACTTATACACACAACTGCAGAAACAAATATAGGAACAAACAATGAACTTACAACAGTTTGCAATGAAGGGTAACAGACTTCAAAGTATTTCGTTCAAGTCTCAATTTAGAGGATAATAGAGTTAACTGAATGATTGCTGAACTTTTAAATACATCCCTAAGCTTGGAATGAGCTCCAGCAGACTCTTAAGTCCCCCCTGGAGGCCCCAGTGTGTCCATCCCATCCCCCTCCCCAACCTCACTTTAACTTACAATGAGTTCTCTTAACAGTGCACTTCAGAACAGCCAGGATAATTCTGTCATCAGCACACTCCTAATTCTGGCTTTTGTCCCTCCTATGCGAATAAAGTCTCCATTAAAATATACAGGTTTAACGATTATATGCATATTCTAAGGCAAAACCCTTAAATGAAGGGCAACACTGACAAGCAGTCACAGAAGTTGCACCAAAACCGGGCTAGCGTTTTAAAAAGAAACGGCAAAAGTTCTAAAATTACAGACCCAAGCATGTTACTCCATTCTTTTTTACTTAAATTCTAAGAAAATTCTACAATTTCATAATAAATACAGATACAGAAAAAAGCAACAGAACTTTAATTCTACATTCCATGGCCTGGCTGTGTTAACTCTGGTCTTCAGTGTTACCTTTGTTTTTTAAGAACATTTTATTGCTCTCATACCGCAATAACATGTATCTGCAAAATAAGGCTATGTCTTGAAAACATATTTACAACAGTTGCAAAACAAATATATACATTACTTTCAGCAAGAAGTGACATTAAGGCAGTTATCATCATCGGGACTAACACCACCATTATCTGTACCAAGCAGCTTTTAATTCTCTTGCGTGCTTTCACTCTTTGCCGTCAGCATTTTGAAAGCTAGCTGCCAAAAATCAAGAGGCACAAGGAAGACTTCACCTGGTATCTTGGGCAAGCCTGATCTCCTCCCCATGGCTGTGTTCTGTTCTGCTCCCCTCTCCCTCCATCCCTCTGTACAGAGCACTGTGACAGCGAGCAATTTAGGCCAGAGACTGCTCCTTAGGACACGTGCAAACTATTTCCAGCAAGGTCTAGATCCCAGACTTGAATTCTGCAGGTTTTTAATAGCACTGAAAAGCCTAAAGCTATGGTACACCACCACTGTGTCTCTGCAGGGGAACTGTGACATTCCAGTTCTCTGCTGAGAAGGTGGTACGGTGACAAACAAACTGCAAAGATGGGGTTACAACAGCCACAGCCTATGGGCTATTGGAATTTTCTAGTGGGAGCAAGAGGGTAGGCACCAACTCCAAGTCTTCAGGGGTCAAGACAGTACTCATTCAATACCTGCCACTCTCAAAGTCTTCTGGAGGAAGGTTATACCAGTGAATTATCAGGAACTTTTAGAAGTTTGTATTTATTCCCTTCGGCAAGTTCAAAAGCCCCCAAAATACAGCGTTCATCCCTATGCAAAGTCTGCTCATTTGGCAAACAATACTATTTCTTAAAAACTAAAAGACATCCCACACCTCTTCTACTCTTATATTTTAGAAATAATATCTGTAGTTGATATTATTTAAAAAACAAAGTTGTCCAGTTTCTTTCACATGAAGTCTACCAATAGCAGATCTTATTTTGGAACAAGCAAGTGCAAAACACAGTTTGGTATGATGCAGTAACAGCAAAAATATCAATTTAATTTGGATCAAAGAGAGGAACACTGATAAGAAAAGCCAGACTGATCTTTGTGATCACTTACAAACCAGCCAGCTAGATAACAACAGCAAACGGCCATGTGTTTGTTTGCTCCATAACTAACCAGCACGCAGCCTCTGCCACAAGCTGATCACTTCATTTCCAACGACGTAACTAAACTGAATTTCAAAGTACATGTCTGCTTAGTGTTACGTACAATATTGCTACACCTAGTTCTGCAACACAGCCTGTAGTCAAACGCCAGTCTTTGTATGTACGTGCAGAGTGTGTTTACATTTTATTTGAACACTTCTATTTAGAGGTTTCTTCCTCATTTTCAGATCCTGTTTTCAGTTCCTGATTGTGGGCTGATTCTGTAAGTCATCCTTGCCCTGCTGTTACCCAAAAGAAGTCATGAGCTTGTCAGTCCTTTAGCATACCCAAACACCTCAGGAAAAGGAAGAACACTAGAAAGTAAGCATCTAGGGAGAGGGATGAAGACCTGAAATCTGTAAGCTGTCTCGAAGAACAGCTATCTAACTGCATTGTACCTGGGAGGCAGGCGTAACGGTTGCCAGAAGTACAACTTAGCTGTTCACAGTTTCCTCATCTCAAAGCTTCCTTCACATCTCTCTGTCGATGTATTTAACCCTTTCAACAGGAACTACTATGCACAGGAAGGCTTTGGACTCAAGGGTGGAAACAGTCACTAATCACACGTTGATAGCTTATGGGTAAACTGATCCATAGTAAATACCTGCCTACACACCTCTGAAGTTATCTCCTAGCTTTCACTGCTGTGGAGCAGACACCTACAGTCACCACTGACCACGTCAAATATAGTAGTCTGGGTAACATATAGTGTCTAATAACCTATTTTTGAGTTTGCATTACTGAAACCTTGATTCCTTTAGTCAGCACAAAGACAATCAAAAAGACCGCTGTATTTTCAGCTCAGTTTCACTGTAAAAAAATATAAAAGATACGTAGCTGCTTGAACCACATCAAAAAAAATACCCCATTTTTAGACTAAAGAACTAGCCTAGGGAAGCAGGGAGGATCTAAAGTCTGTTACAGACTTTCTGCAATACCCCAAGCAAGCATCATCATTATATTCAACAAAAAAGCAGTGTTTCTTCCATCCTCAATCTATGTTGTCTAGATTGTAAGCCAAGCAAAGGGACACCTACCCTCTAAAATAAATTTTTTAAAAAACCCTCCTGGTTGGAAGACTCTGTGTTGGAGTAATTACATGCACAGACATAATTTTTAAAAGAAAAAAAAAAAAAAAAAAAAAGCTTTTGCACTAGCTTTATCAGTAACACTAAACTACAGACAACCTTTTGTTTTCGTAAAACACATGCAACAGACATCTGCACATCATTACAATACTGCATCAAGTGTCACCCTGATGTATAAGGGTTATCTACAAGAAACTTAAAATCCATTATTCCTTTAATACATAAAAATTTGGAGTAAAAAGATGGCAGAGAAACTGCAGGTATCCAAAAACCATAACAAGGTACAGGTCTACTCTAAGTATTAAAGCATTAATTTTGCACACCTAATCTTTATCAGAGAGGACTATGGGGAAATGTTGGCTTAACTCTTACTGACAGCTGTCTGCACACAGGGGATTTCAAGCTAGGAAAAGGATTTTGACTACACTAAAGCTGCAAAACACCTCTCAATTCAAATCTACCATCCCCATTATTGACACAAATGCTGATGCTGAATCCTGATAACAGCAGTTCCAAAAGTTTGGAAAGGAAAGAGGAACTTTATTAAAGTTTTTAACTGGAGTTAAGACATAAGACCGAACACTTGCAGTTCTTGGATCTGGTTCCCTAATCCAAAGTTTCAAACTGGAGAGACAAAATGGCTAAGGGCAAGTGGGGAGCTGAAAGCCTCTAAAAATGGTGATCAGTGACTGAGCTGCCAGGGTTATTTCATAGAGTGCCACGCTACAGTAAAGAAAACCAAGACAGCAGGGCTACCACTCGTGTTGCTGGCAAGGGCCAGTAGTTTTAACGGCATCTTGGCCAGTAAACGCAGCAACAGCTACCCAGTTTCCATCGTATTTACCAATACCCTGGATACCTGACACTTACAGAACAAAAATCCCCATTTTAGTCAATGTCTTAAGAAGTTGACAGGTCTCTAAAGCATTCAGCATTTTGGTTTGGAGCAGTAGTGTGGTTTTGAAGCAAATCCCCTACCATCCTCACTACTGTGCACTAGCTTAGTCTGCAGGGCGGTTCTGGTGGGTGACTAGATCCCCTTTAAAGCAAAGTAAACTGCAGCTCCTGGCCAGGTACAAATCAAATGTTCTCCAGACAAGAATGGAGATAGAAAGGACTGAACCTCGTGTCAGTCCTTCAGACAGCCTCTAAATGCACATGCAGTGGGGTGGCTGGGCAAGGGGGAAATCAGACCTAATCTACCCGATGCAAAACACACAAACAACAGTTTATATGGACAGACCTTGGCACCAGTTGCTTCTATTTACTTCTGTGCCTCTACTGCACCAAACTGGTCCCTCTTAGACATGACAACGAAGCTTTTTGAAACATTAAGTCAAACGCCTACCCTGCGAGTCTCCTCTTCCCCTTTGAGGAAAGGGATGTTGAGACTTTAATACACGTCTTAATATATTACACTAAGCAACTGTGGTGGAGCTTACTTTAATGTTAATGTTTTCGGCACTTAAGCATTTTAATTCTTTAACATTTATTCCTGTTAACATGGGATGTCAAGATACACATCTATTATTCACTCATTCCAACCATTTAAACAATATTGTACTTCACACAACCTTCGCTCTTTCCTTCTCGTCAATGTAAAATATGACATATGCATAGGCTGCAAGACAAACATTTAACTTGAAAGAAAAAAAAAAGAAGCAACATAGCACTTAACGTTTCCTTACCTGTATATTTGTTCATAGGAGATAGGGATGTAGTCACCAGGACTCTGGGTTAGAAGCTGATCTATGGCACTGTCCAACTTTGGCCAATATGTGCTCTTATAGTCTTCAATTGTTATAACATTCATTACTACAAGAAAAAGACAAAACGACATTTAGTAACTTTAGCTAAAAGATTAGAAGCAAGTGAATGCTCTGCAGTTTCAGATCACGCCAATAAGATGGCCAAAAAAACTGGGAATAGTTCACTTCCACCGAGATAACCTCTTCTAAACCTAAAGCCCAGGCTTGAATCTGTACCTTTTTATTTACAGAAAATAAAGTCAGAGAACCTGTCAAATCAGTGCTTGGACATTCCTTAGTGTCCCAAGCAGCAGAGAAAAACAGACTCCTGGGAGTTCTAGCATGACAATATAACAACAATTTTAAAAGAGTAGCTCAGTAGTTAGTTCAGATTCGTAAGTTACACATCCTTGTGGGAGTCCAGAATCAACAATTAACACTGGGTCCTCAAATGCAGAACAAGCTTTGGCCAAGACTGGTAGCTCTTGGAATATTCCCTTCCCAGCAGATGTATTAATTTTACAAGTCTCCCGTGGTACCCGCAGCTTCCTTGGCCTAAAAGCTGGGGTAATTCTGTCTGCCTCCAATTGCAGTTCAGCTCCCGGGCAACTTCTTTGGGCCCGAACTACAGCTCCCCCTCTAGCAGGCACAATAATACTCCTTTTCCAGATAAGAATCAACACATGGAAGAATAAGAGACATTTAAATTAGCATTTCCCATCACTCCCTGATTTTCCTCCTGAGCTTCCCAACTGCACCCTCTTGCGCAAGCCACTTGGTGTGCCATCACAGACCCAGGGGAGTTTCAATCTCTCCCTTTTTGGGGAGGATTTCTGAACTAACCACATGCGGCTCAGTTCCAACTGAGCCACAGTAGAAGAGTTAGCACCTTCCCTTCAGAAACAGGTGCACAGGACCACCTTGCTGGCTTGTCACACCACCAGAGCTTCACAGCACCCCCTCAAAGCAAAGCCCTCGGTAACTAACAGCACAGGGTACATTTCACATCGAAACTATCCAGTCCAGGAAATCTAAAAGTCATTTCTTCATTTGACCTCCACATGGGGGTCTGGGCTATATAGAATAGGGAATAAAGATAGTTTCCACCCCAAACTATCCAGTTTAGACACTGCACTGAAAAGAAGTATTTTGAATAGGGCAGCATTTTGAATACATGTGTAAACATATATTCACTGCTGGGTTTGAGGAGCAAGATTTCCGAAATGTTATTTCCCCAAGGCGTTGAAAGGAGCCGAGTAAGTCACTTTTGGCAGCCTTCTAAAGAACAATTCTAGGGAAATACAGGCAAAACAGTTAACAGTTACCACGAGAAAAAGAAGAGTATAAACAGAACGTGGAATAAAGAGAGGTGCAAGACAAGAAAGTGTCTGAACACTATCTGTAAAAGCGGGTATTACAGATTCCTGTTGTGTGTCTTTTTAGGGTATTTCAGCCAGAAACCTCGCTGAGTGACGAATGCCAGTGCAGTACCCCTAGCCCCCTCTTCACCCAACTAGCCATCGGTTCACTTTTACTTCATACCTGCTACCGAAATGGATCAGGTCACCAGTACGGGTCTGCTCAGTGGATGGGCCACCACCACCGAACGCTGCAGGATGCCGTCCCCACACCCTGGCCTGCAATCTCAAAGTACCACACCGTTTGCTTACACGCTGATGCAGGCACTGGGTCCAGGCACACAGCTACCAGGACGTAGGTTAACACGTCCAGCACTTCAGCTCCACGATGTAAGAGCATCCGTGCAGTCAGGAACGGTACAGCACCTGCCTGACAGTAAATTCACCCCTTGCTCATCTGTCCCGCAGTGCCTTGCTGGAGTTCTCGTCCCTTAAAGAGCTCAGGCTCCAGGTTGATGTCCTCAGGAGCGGCTTCCACGTAGTAGCTTTACTATTCACACTTACACTCCGCAGCAAAATTTGAGCATTGTTTCATATTTCATATTTCACTTTGTTATCCCCAAGGTGGTGGGTCTCCACAGAAGTGGTCTGTTCCACAGAAAACATTAAAAACTCAAGTCAGCAAAAATATTAGACCAAGTCTTGATTTAAGATTTCTGTGTGTAATCACACCCACATCTGGGTTAACATATTAAATGAGCCCTATTCATTTGAAAGAAAATAGTCAAGTGAGAACTGAGAACGCTGCAAAAGAATTTTTTAACAGGCTGCTGAGAAATCACTTCGGGTTTTTTACAGTATGGAAAAAGAAAGAAGTAGCAGGCAGGAAGGCCTGCCCATTAGAAGGGCTGCACCAGTGAGGGACAAAATGCTTTTACAGACAGCCCCAGGAGACTTGCCTAGGAAACACTGATGAGTTCAAAGTCACACTCTAGAAAAGCTTCATTTCTCTTCAAAAGACTCTTACAAGTACTATTTCACTTGATTTCCACACTTCAGTTCTGAAACTGAGCCAACCATAATACTTACAGAGTTAAGAGTCCAAGACTACACACTGAACAATCACTATTTTTATTCTTCTAACCCAGAAAGCAAATTACTTTAAAAGTTTAATAACGGTCACAAGTTAGCAATGCCCTTTTTTTCTGGCAGTGCTTACACACACACACAAAGAGTGAAGGATGACTTAAAGTAGCACCCTCCAATTACAAACTCTGCAAGAACAACCTCAAGAGCAGGAAGGAATGGAATCACACAAATCCTTAGAAAGAGAAAAAGAGATTGCCCTTTTAGAAACTTCTTTAAATTTTTACTTTTTCATCTTTTTAGGATGTCATTCTTACATGTTTAGCCCTACATTAGGTATTCAAGATTCAAAAGGATTTGTCCAACAGCCCTCATCTCCGAATCACAAAGAAAGGATGATACTAAAAGACGACTTTCATTTTGATGAGATTTATTAAGTTTCTGGGAAGTGACAAGGACATTTTGTAACAAAGCATGCTAGAACGCATGATTTTATCCAGCTGCGGTAAGTTTGGGGTGGGGCTGGGAGAGAAATCAGTGTGATCGAATGGAAAGGAAGGCAGTATTTTCCAGCAAATTATGAAAGACTTCACAAGTAAAGCTTGAGAAGCAACTGCTGCTTTTCTGTAGACAGAGAAGTTCAAAAGAAAAACTGTTTAAGTCAAAGGCAACAGTGAAACCATTTAAGTGAAAAAGATTATGCATGAGCTTCGCATCGTAACCTAGATATTTCAGTATCAGAGCCATAATTGAAACACAGCCTGCTGCAAGCTACCAAATTCTTTGATATCAACTTCAATCAGAAGAAGGGCAAAACCCACTAAGATTTAAAAAAAGAAGATGAACAAAAAGTCCAAGAGTAGGTATTCATCCCCCAAGAAATTGAAGATGCTGGAACAGTAACAGGTACAGGACATGAAGAATAGAATAATATTTTTTAAAAAAAAAAAAAGAAAGAAATCAATGATACTGTTGGTTTTGTTATTCAGATGAGACAACTCAACCTGAAAAGCTACTCAAAACTTTTACTACGTTCACATATAAGAAACACCTTTCTTTCAAAACTATAGCTAAAAAAGCAGGGGACAGAGCAGGACAGGTAATCCAACCTACTGTCACCTAAGCAGACAAGGGTCTGACAATTATCTGTCATTTATTCTGACTATAAAAATCAAAGAAAGCAGCTAGGCAACTTTCAGAAGCTTTATTTCATCTCACAAATGACGTACATGAAGCTTTACTGCTTAATTAGCAACACACCCGACAGCGGACGTCTAAGACGAATCTACAGACTCGTAGCTATCGCCGTGGCTCTACGCCTCCCTTTCTCTCGGCCGTCACGCGCGGGTTGAAAGCACAGATTCTGCTCTATCTCCCCTGCCTGACACATCCTAGCATACATTAGCAAGTTCATGAGTCTGCCCTGTAGTTGCTTTCAATTCTATTCTATTTTTATTATATGTTTCTCAGTCTGTGTTAAGACTGGTTAGGAAAAGTAACGCTCAGTTTTTTCTTCATCAGACAATTTGCCCACGCAGCGAAGCACACGCTGCGCTGAACCACGTTATACAACAGGGCAGTCAACAGATTTAAGGGCTATGCCAACGCTCACGGCCACGTGGGCCCACCCTAAAAGGGACTGGCATCAAACACATTTATAACCATCCTTGCCTGAAAAGGATGAAAAAAAAAACAAGAAGGAAACCTCTTCATCTTCTTCACAATTCAGACACACTGCGATTATTGGTATGGAAGAGTTTTGCTCGAAGATTTTCTTAAGATGCTTCAACTAGAAGAAAAGCTGTTCAATGAACTGCATGTTATTATATCTGACTTCAGTTCTCAGTCTCACCAAAATCTCAAGGAAGGAGACCTGGATTTGGCCCCTTAGAAAGATTTTAAAGGGTGTCCATCTAACCTTCTTCCTCCATTATTCTGCCAGCTGAATTAGACCCCAGAAGGCCCACCAGCCAGCTTCAGTCTGCGACTACGAGCACGAACAGAACAAACGCACTGCAAGTAACTACCTACTGGAACACAGTCACTGGGTTTTTTGTTTCGGAGGAAAGAAAGGAGGGAGAGACCTGCCTGAATGCCAGAGGCACTCCAATTTATCATAGGATTGCTGGGAACTGTGCATCGCCCACATTTTTGAAGGTCACCTATAGGATAACCTGCCTGACACCAAGCCCCTGAATCATGCAGCAAGGCAGGCGTGAGTCCTCGCTCCTTCAACTGCAAGAAGCTCTTCACGCAGCCGGGAACAGACAACTTTCCTGTCGGGCTTAAGACTGACAACCAGGTTCTCTACGCACGTTCTGCCATTGCTAGGACAGAGCAGGTAGGAGGGGATCCAGCACACACTGTCTCCCTTTTCATTTTACCTTTTGATCTAAAGTGACCCTTCTCCCATTTTTTATACAAGAAAATTAAACTGAAGAGATTAAGGGATCCTCTGCCAAAGCCAGGAGTAGAACAGGCAGGACCCCAGCTCAGCTCCTGTACTTTCTCAGTCCGTACTACTTCATACACACGTTGTGGAAACTATCCACAACACAAAGATGAAGAAAAGTTCTAATGAACTTAACTCAAAGTTAAGTATTTTACAGGAATTTTATTCTTC